ATTAAACTCATTTCGATAACTCAAATTTTCAGAAAATGGAAACAAAAAGCTACTACTACCTACCTATCTACCTCTACCCTTTAAAATTACAGGGTGTTAAAAAAAGAGTGTAAAATATTTAAGGAGGTAATAGTATGAACCAAAATAAGCAGAAAAGTTTCAATAAACATGGGTCCGCAAAGTAACGGTTGCGGAGATATGGAATGTTTTATGTTTTTTAGCCCCTTTTTTTATTTTGCAAAAACGTTGTGTATTTTCTTATAATAGTTGGTTGATGTTTAGTGAAATAAACAGTACGTATTTGACAGTTGTTCTCAGTGCACAAGTTTTCTTTCGCTATGGCTGGTTACTCTAACGCAGAATTAACAGACATGCATTTCATGTATGGTCGTGCTAATGGGAACGCCACCGAAGCGCGACGTCTTTATGTTGACGCTTATCCAAATCGCCAGATTCCTTCACAACGCATGTTTGGAAGAATTCACCAAAGATTGCGTGATACCGGTTCCTTGAGCAAACAGTGCCATTTATCCGGAAGACCAAGGTCGGTATCCACTCCTAGAGCAGAAGAAGAAATTCTAGCACTGGTAGAGCAGAATCCAGGTACGAGTGTGCGGAGAATATCAGCCGAGGTAGGAATTAGTGGTCCTCTTGTTTGGAGAATCCTTCACGAGCAACTGCTTTATCCATACCATGTGCAACGAGTACAGGCCTTAAATCCAATAAATGATCATCAAGCACGTTTGGTTTTTTGCCGCTGGTTTCTACGTCATGATGCTGAAGACCCTCGTTTTCTTGCAAACATTCTTTTTACTGATGAGGCCGGGTTCACAAGAAATGGAGTGTTTAATTTTCACAATACGCATATTTGGGCCGACGAAAATCCTCATGCTCTAATAGAATCTGGACATCAGGCACGTTTTTCATTAAACATTTGGATGGGTATTGTAGGTGACAGGTTTCTAGGTCCTGTTGTTTTACCAAACCGATTAACAGGCGCTGCTTACCTCAACTTTCTGCAGAACACACTGTATGAGTTTTTGGAAGACATTCCTTTGAATCAGAGGCAACAAATGTGGTTCCAGCATGATGGTGCTCCAGCTCATTTTTCCATGGCCGTTAGAGAGCATTTACACCAAACTTTTCCACATAGATGGGTAGGAAGGGCCGGACCTGTTTTATGGCCTCCAAGATCGCCTGATCTGAACCCTCTAGATTTCTTTGTTTGGGGATATTTGAAGACATTAGTGTATGGTACTCCTGTAAATAGCCTGGAAGAGCTGCAGCTACGGATTAATCAAAAGTGTCAAGAAATCCAAACCAAGGAGGGTGTTTTCGAAAGAGTTCGAATATCGTTGAGACGAAGATGTCGTGCCTGCTTGGAAATGGACGGAGGGCACTTTGAACATCTTCTGTAACTTTGTTTTTTGTTTGTTAAAAGCTTCCTTTGTCGGTTTATTCCTAATAAAATAAAATGTTTGAAAAACGAATAGTGGTCCATATCTCCGCAACCGTTACTTTGCGGACCCATGTTTATTAAGACTTTTCTACTTATTTTGGTTCATACTATTCCCTCCTGAAATATTTTACACTCTTTTTTTAACACCCTGTATACCTACACACCTTATCACTTTAACTGATCTCGTTTATCGTAAATAATGTTTTCCGTAATTGAGAAATTTCATAAAACGCAAGTGTAAGATCGCAGCACCATTATGGGCAAATACGAGGTTGTAAAATAGCTGCTTTCTTCGTTTAAACTAGTTTTTAGTTGACATGGAAGTGTTCCAGGCAAGATGAAACTTTACAGTTTTGCTATTTATGTCGCAAAGCTAACATCCAATGTCACTGAGCCTCGTCCGCAGTGCATCTTCCTTTTATTTAGGAGAAATATAATTATTATCTGGTTTATAAATTTAAGCGTTACGTCTATCTTATAAGGTAGAAGTGACATTTATGTTTCAGTCTTAGAATTATATCCAATAAAAGCAAATTTATATTTTCTCAGAATAAACGGGTATGATTGGAGTCGATGAGGAGGTGTGACTTATCTGCGACAACGAGAAAGGAATGAAACCGATATGCCTGCATGATCTGACTTTCTTATTGGCTGCAATGAAAATTAAATGAAAAATAATAGGCTTGAACTAGGTACAGTGTTAAACAACAAATTAAAAAGTTTGTATTTATTTCAAATACCTATATTTTTAAACTGCAACGTATAAACATCATTTGATAAGGACATAATGATAACACCAGGACACAAAAAAAACTAGTGCAAAGATGTTGACTTTGGTAGTGAAGTCAATAAATCGATAAAACAAAATAAAAATTCGCTAGTTTTGAATGGAATAAAATATGAAGTTTGTTTTCTTTTTTTTTTCAAAAAAAAAAAGAATTAATAAAACCCTTGTGTCATAACGATCATTATTTTTTTAACAATAATTCTGTGTGTCTAAAAATCTCTTTATGAAAGTATATAAGTGCACACGTAATATTTTATATTATATTATTATATTCATTTTCGGATAAAAAAAGATTTAAATACATGTTGAAAATTGCATACATATTTTTTCTGAGATGCAAGAATTTAGAATCAGTTCAAGAACATGAAAATTGCAAAGGTGTCAAATTAAACTCAATTTTGTTTCCTTTTTATATTTCTATACAGGGTGATTCACTTTTTATGATTAGGACTTTAACCATCGATAGATCTCGTCAAAGTAATGTGATTTTGAAGTATACACTTTTTCTTCCAAAGGCTTCCTTTTAGTTCTTGAAAAAAAATATTTTTTTTGTTTTTATTTATTTTTTCTTAAACTATGAAAGTCATTTGTTTTATATTTACTACGAAGTGTACGAATGATTGATCTGCTTTCACAATAATTTGTAAAATCGATAGAGCACATTTCACAATAGAGTACACTTCATACTAAATATAAAACAAATGGTTTAGGAAAAAATAAATAGAAACCAAAAAAAAGTTTTTTCAAGAGCTTATATCTCTAAAATGAAGCCTTTGGAAGAAAATGTGTATACTTCAAAATGACATTATTTTGACGAGATCTATCGATGGTTAAAGTCCTAATCATAAAAAGTGAATCACCCTGTATATTTGAATGGAACTCATTGTCAGGCTTACAGTGAAACAAAGATTTATAGACTATTATACCTAATAAGGCAGATATGACCAAAGATGTGTGTCATATATTAGATAAACTTCCCAACACATTGAATATATAGACTTTGTATATATAGTATAGACTTTTGGTTTATCTCCCTTATTATTACGTATACTATATAGAACATTAAAAACATATCCTTTACATATAAATAGATAGCGATAAAATATTTCAATAATCAAAATAAATTAAGAAAAATATGCAATTCTGACTTATACACAAATATCGTTTAACCTTTAAGCCAACTTAAGGTTTATTTTTATTTCGTATATAATTTCGACCATATCAGCGTATTTATATCTTAATTATCCTTTTTACGACTATCACTGGTTATTCTTGCAACGTTTATGCAAATTTATGTTTGTACTTAAATAATGTGCAGTGGAAACACTAATCAGTTTTTCTCAGACATCGGTGCATAATCTGTTAAGAAATTCGCTTTAATACGATGCAAAAATACTGCGTAATAATTTTTGTGTCTCTCTTATGTGCCGCCATTGTGTGCAGCAGGTCTGTAGTAAGAACAGGTAATTTTACATAGGTATAAGGCTTATGAATATTCTTAATTTCGATGAGTGTGCTTGTTTTAAAAACAACAAATATTTTGAAAAGGCAACTGTCAAATGTCTTTTCCGTCATAAACTTGCATACATTTTTATTTATCTTGTATACTTTCCTTCACGAATGTACAAAAAAAATTGCATTATCTCGGCTTCTAATGGACCAATTTCTATCTTTTTTTATCCAATGTCCCGCGAGCCAAGGAATCCGAATATTGTAATGCCAACTGTCTAATTTGCACATATTTTTGTTATAAACAAAGTTGGTTATTTATGCATTAAATATACTGTATATTTTACCCTATAAGTACTATTGCATTTTTTCAATGAAAAAATTTGTTTACGTATATATTTCAACACTCTGAATATGGATGTATTTAGTTATAATTATTACAATTATTTAAATAATTTTAATTTAAAATCAAAAAAAAAATTATTTGGAAATTAATTTGTTTGTTAAATACAGATAAAATTAAGAAAAATAGTACTTTAAAATTATAATTTTTGAAAAAAAAACTAAATTGCAAATTGATAAATGTAATCTAATTGTTTAAAAATAAAAAAAGGAGGGTTAACTTTAAAAATTTTCTTTGGCCCTCCCTCCTAATCAACCAATTTCAAATTTTCAAAAACCATTTAAAAGGCTGAGCGGTCTTTTCTATGTGAAAAAATTTTCATGTATCCAGATGCTTTAATTGAGGCTGTGCAACATTTTGAAAATTCGAAAAAATTTTTTCAAAATTTTTTTCAAAAAATTATTTTGCGAAAACTATCGAATCGATTTTAATGAAATTTGGGTGTTGTTTTATTATACTATAAAGGTTTTTTACCAAAATTAGAATGCCTTCGGAGCAATTAAAATATTTTAAAAAAATTATCCAAAAAACTTATTTTGCCATTTTTTCATCAATTACCTATTGCCATTTTGCAACATCGGTAATAAATTTAAAAATTTTTAACTTACAGTATATTATGCATGCAAAATTCAATTCTAAAACTTTTTTTCCTCTTCAATATTCTTCCAAAATGCATACAGACAGATCCGCCCTGGTCTATATCAATTTAAACGTTTTCCAAATAGTGGATTAAGTTCCATAATTTCCTTAAATTAATTTTTGATACACTTAAATCCAGTACTTCAGAATTATTGCAATTGTTTATATGGTTACTTTATGTAATCAGTCTAACTTTGACCTTTATCTTGGATACGTAGTCGTGTTTATTGCCGTGGTATTTTCTAGAAAACGTTTCCATGTGTATATTATTAGCTAATTGGCGATTATCATACATTTCCAGTTACTTCTTCAGTCGAAAAATATTAGTCACGCTGTAAATAAGCATTTGTTTATCAACGTGTTACGAATATAAATCACTTTTAGTTAATACGACCGTCAGAAATAAGCGACACTATCACAATGGCGCACAAGGAATTGTTAGTTTTGGTGTGCATTTTTGCGACTGTTATTGAGGTTTACAACAAGCCTACCTACAAATCAGGTACCTATTGTTAATGCTTCCATTTTTAGTTAGAAGAATAAAGTAGTAAAAGTATTATTAATATTAACCTAGTTCTAATTGCATAAAATTATTTGTTTAAAGAAAAAGATAAATGTATAATAATTGTATCATTAAATAACATATTCTGCAAGATTTGAGAGATTTTAATTTATTCGGGCCTGTATTTTGAGTACCGGTTAAGGCTAAATAAGATGATTAGGGTGCGAATATACTTGTCTTATATAATAGTCCAATTAGTTAATCAAGTCTCAACTAGTACACAAAACACTGACCTTTGGAGGGATAGGATAAATAGAGATTCACGTATTAAAGATGGTAAAAAAGACAACATTAAATAATTATGTAAAATATAAATATATAATATAAAATATAAATAACAAGAAAAACAATTTTAAGATCTGCAGTCGTGCAAAATATATAAACTTTCATTCATCTTGTCTATACACATTTCAAATTCAAATGGTAACTGTTTTGGTCTAGGTTAAACTTTTTGGAAACCTCCAAATATAGATCATTTTGAAACTTTCCTATATACTTTGAGGTTCCATTAGGAACCAGTTTATATTAATGACTTCAACGCTATCGGGCATCGTCAGATTTCATAAGTAAACAATTTTTATATCTTGGATATTACGTTGGACATAATGGCATTCTCATCTCAAGTTCATTAATGTTGTCAAAACACAAGAAAAGTTGGAGAGGATCAAATATATCGAATCTTCAAAAATACAATGCAAGCGTGATAGTCAGAAAATTAGTTTTATTTTATATGTTTTCTTGAATTTTTCTATAGTTATTTTAAAAAATATTTGTCTAATTGCAGGTATTCATGAATGTTTTAAAGAGGAGTGCCCGGATAACACTTTCGCCTGTGAAAGATTAACACGTGTTTCAGATGACAAGAAGCATATAGTATCAGAAATACACTGCTTGGACTTGGAGGGTATGTGACCGTTCTTATAAAACCTTCGAAATTATTGCTAAAGAAACACAAGGGACTTAAATTGTTTCTTAACAAATTATCAATCATAAGATGTGAGAGGTACCAAAAAATTACAACATTCTTACAGAAAATGAACACATTCTAAAAAAAAATTGGGTATAATTAGACTTAAGGTCCTTACACGCAGGAAATTGTGCATTATTTAATGAGAGGTGTTCCTAAATTGAATATATAACGTTTAATAATGTTCACTCTCTCTTAATGTTAATAGCACATAATTTTCTATTCTAGGTAAAGCCCTTAAAAATGTGACAAATTATCAAGACAATCCGTATGGCCCTGATACGGATTTCAAAGGTTACAATTACAAAGGTGCTTTTGAGATATCGCTTGACAATGAAAATGATGAAAATACACCCAAGGAAAGTCATGGCAAACATAAAAATACAGATTCTGAAGTGGAAGACTTAAACGCTCGATAAAATTACTATAAAATAAATGTTACGTAGTATTTAATCAAAAAATACCAATATAAATATGTAATTAATTAATTAATGGACTGATATATTGTTTAATATTGACTTGTTATTATTTGTTGTACGTAATATAAATAAATGTTAATACTAAATAAATATATAATTTGTTTAACGTAAAATTAGAGTATTAGTTGTGGGTGGATCTATAGATAGTGGTGTAAAAATTAAAATGAAATTTACTTAAATTACTTTTTGCCATAAATTCAGGATTAACTATTGACAACACCGTATTTTTTCAAATTTAGATACAATTTCCTTTTTTTATCTGTACTATGTTTCTTAATGTAACAGAACGAATTTCCTTTCAAAATTAACATGTCCCTCTTTTATCGCAAAATTATACGTATTTGATGAAATTTAATTAAGATAACATGATTTTGCATGCAGGATATCAGAAATTATTTATGAAACATGGAATTGACGTGATACACTAGGCACAGAAATTAAGGGATATTAAAAATATTCCAAAATTTTGGGTAATTTTCAAAGAGCTGTAAGTTGGAGGGAAACGGTCGTACAGAGAATAAAAAAATGGAAATTGAAGCTCCAAGTGTCTAGTTTTCAGATATGTAGTTTAATTTTTTTTAGCGTCAGCAGTTTTTGTTTAATCATAAGAAAAAATCAACGGAAAAAAAATTGTAAATTTTTGCTTTTTTAAAAGGCCTATGGACTTCAAAAATTGTTTTTGATAATTTCATCATAAAGCTCTTTTAGGTAATTTAATTCTCTTCAATTTGAGCAGTTCCGAAGCCTTCTACGATTATTTGTCACTGAGTTATCATCGATCAAAGCAAAAAAATAATTTTTGACTTTGGCAATCAATTACTCGGGAAATAATGGTCGTACCGAAAATCTAAGCTGGATTTTGAAAACTGGAAAGTATTCTCTACAAGTAGCAACTATGGGTTTTTGATAAAAAGTGAAAATGTTGGTTAGAAAAAGGTGAAAAATTGCATAATTAGGGATATTTGAATAACTTGGTATAACTTTGCAAATAATGAATAAATAAAGGATATCAAGGTTTGTGTACATTGTTTTTTAACAATTGTACTTTTGTGTTACTTTTTTACTTGTTTTATACATAACATAATAATATCTACTAAAAATCTTGTCTAAGGGATTTTAATTTCAAATTTATTAAATTAATTTCATTTTAGTATACTTACATACCTTTAAAGCAGGGAACTTTAAACTTTAACATCTTCAGGTACTAGCTGAAAATGATAGGCAACACACTATACGGAACATCTGGCCTGAATTTATTCATTCCATTCTGTAATTCTTATTTCAGCCGATTTCAGCATGTAGTAGTCAAGGGGTCATTGACCAGTCATTGAATTTTTTAATTAAAGTATAAATTCCTTCTTATAACATCAAACATTTTATGAATAAGTTTCTAATTATAAAGTCAAGACGTCAGAAAATATTATTCCAACCTATTTTATATACTTAATCTTGTAATTTTGATATGTAATTATAAATTTCAAAACATAAACTGTAAGGAAAGTAAGATCTGCACTTGTCTATTTCTTCCTGTCTGAATGATAACGCGTTTCCTGTCGGCATTTAAAATTTTACATTGGAAATAAGATAAAAATACTTTAAATTCGGATCTGGTAATATAAACATAATTTATACATACTATTCTGCTTGTGAATGTATAATACCTAACAGTTCTTGATTATAAATGAGAGAGATCTGCTAGTTTTAAAGTGAGTGTTCCTAGATAGTTTAAAATGGCAAGAATACAATGGAAATCTTGTCGTACACTAGGATTATTTGTTGGTTTATTTATTTTGTATTTATGTATTCGTGTCCAGAATTATGAGCATAAGGCGTTTATTTTTCTTCCAACCACTCATCCAAACGAAGTATGGGAATTTGTAGCTGACTTTAGTAACATGAAGTATTTAAATCCTACAATGTAAGTTATACTTTCAAGAATAAGTAATATAAACTTATTGATGTTATTCCTCAGTATAGATTTTGACATTGTCGAAGAAAAGGGCAACTATGGTCATTGGAAGTATTCTACAAAATATTCAGAAAAATTATCTCACTGGCCGTATTTACCTAATCATGCTATCGCTCATTTTGATATTCAAGGAGATTCCAAAACACATGTTTATTATATAAATTCTACACACAGAACTTGCTTATTTATGGGTATCTACTGTCGTAAGTATTCGTTAATGAAATGCCTTCTTAAATTTATTAAAACTACATGAATTTATAGTAAAAATGAGGACTTTTCGTTATTGCTATTGTAAAATGAATTACTAATAAAACTTTAATGATGTACTGTCACTATCTAATTAACTTAACACTATTTCTCTTTTATGTATTTTTAGTAAATGCCAGCAGTGAATTTAAATTCACAAATAGCAATTCGTCCAATGGGGCTGTGTGTGAGGAATTTGTTCAGTACCAGTGCCCTTCACTTCTGTCAGAATTTTGCAAAAGAGAAGTCGTTTTTCAAAGGAAATCGATTATGAATAATTTGAGGAAGAAATTTGCAGAACGGAAACACTAAAACTGTAATAAATGTAGTAAACTTACCAAAGAATATATTTAACATGACTGGCATTGATCCTGGGATATGCTTAAGTATAAAGTTAAAAGGCAGTGAAAGATAAATAACATTATTTTCACTATCAATATTAACTGATTAATTAACATGTATATAGTTTATTAAAATTTAATAAACACTTTTTCACACTTCAAAGTTCCACACACAATATTCACATTTTATTTTATCAACCTTCATTAATCTATAAAGAAAAAAAATATACTCACAAAACACATACTGTATCACTGTATTTCTATTATGTGTAAAATGTTTCAAATTTTAATATTCAAATAATCCAAATTTTAAATTTGGATTGGGATTAGTATGTTTTAGTTTTAGACGGTTATGTAGAAACCTTCTAAACCTTCTTATCGGACCACATTAAAGGCGTTTTCGCGAACATTGAAATTTGAATTATCGGTTCAGTTAGTGGAGATCAATTGAGATACACTCAATCAGTACAGTAAACGATGGTGATTTTACAAATCGGTGGTCATAGAAATCTATGTCTAGATTTCTAAAATCATTTAGATCATTTTATGCTAAATTGAAACTGTATTCGTTATATAAAACTGAGAATATAGAGCATTGTATATCTTAATATAATTTTACACATTAATCGGTTAACTATGTAATCTCATTTTTCGTAAATAATTAAATTTGCATGTATTGCTTGTACTCTCTTCACCATCCATCTAACCCAGCCAAGTTTTCTATATTTGTTTTACGTTGTAATGTTCATTAAAAGGCTTTATTAGCAAAGTTATTGGTATTGTTATTGTGTTGTTTAGGAAAACCTATCTGTTTCCGACTTCAGTGAACTTGTATTTCTATTCGATCGCCACTCCTAGGAAATTTTCGAAAACGCCTTATTTTAGAGTTACATCACAGCATTGTTTCCTATGCTGTGAATGCACGAACAAAAAATAAAGTGATTATTATTTCCTATTGTCTCTGTTCAAGTTCTATTGTTAAACACCACAGAGCTGGGTGACGATTCAAAAGTAAGTGTGGAAAAATGTAGAGCACTCCGATGTATCACGCACCTGTGCATTGGAACGTACTCCTTGTGAATTAAAAGTACATGAGGAACGCTTCAGTCGGTACACCCCATAGAACACCCTAAAGCAGCTGTGATCTTGATGATCTTAACTCCATGATCTTAACCTACAATATTTTGGTGGAAAATAATCGTTCGAAAATGGAGCACAAGTTACTTTACCTTAATAACTAGTAATTCGTAATTATTTATCTACAGACAGTAGACAGCATTTTATAATATACGTAGCAAATGTGTATTTAATAAACGATACGTGAGTTTAAAATAGAAAGCATAAAACGTGAAATATGGATGCATATGATATTTTTAAAAAATTGACAAGGGGAGCTAAATTTTCAAAGAAAAGTAATGTCAAGTTAGAAAAGGTGAGTAAAAATATTTTGTAATCTGTACTTATTTCGTATTTACGAAAATATTTCTTAATGCTTAGGCATATAAGACAGGTTCCGTTTTGGTTTTAAATAATACATGACTTATATGACATTAGATCATAAAGGTTTGATTCTTAAACCATTTTATACTTTTTATTTTCAGAAGCAATTAAATGAAGATATTAAAATAAAAGTTGAGAAAGAGGAAGAAACATGCAAAAAATCCAATACGTTATCCAGAAAGGAACAAAATCCTATTACACTATTAAGCGGTTTAAATCCTACAGAGAAAAAAGGTAAAAAACGAAAGAATGACGCTCATCATAGTGAACAAAAAACGAAAATATTGAAGATAGAAGAGGTAATATATAAGTACATAACTTAATAAACAGTAGATTTATATTTAAGTATCTTATTTCTAGATAAACCATTACCGAAACATAAATAATATTAATGTTGTTGGCCGACATGTACCAGAACCCGCAAAATCATTTGATGAATTCAAAGTTGATGAAGACATTATTGAGAACTTGAAGAAGTGTGGTTATGAGGAACCTACACCTATTCAGAAACAAGCAGTACCCTTAATGTTGGAGGTAATTTAATTTTGAATAATTATGAAAAATAAATAAATTATATTCTATTACATAGGTTCTCTTTACATATTAGTAAAAATATTCAATAATGGCACTAATATGTTTAAATTTATGAGGTACCTATTTGTGTTATCATTAATTTGTCCCGCCAGGGAAGACAAATTTTAGGATGTGCCCCAACAGGTTCAGGTAAAACAGCCGCGTTTCTCGTGCCCATAATTCAGACTTTAAATGGACCACGGCGAGAAGGATTTAGAGCTCTAATTTTATGTCCGACTCGAGAGCTTGCTAAACAGACCCAAAGAGAATGTGTCAGATTATCCGAAGGCAGAGGCTTTCGGATACACGTTATCAGTAAAATAAAACAAGCATTGACCCAGTATGGGCCGAAGAGTTCAAAGAAATTTGGTAAGTTATCAAAATGTATTTTATACGGTTATACTAAGTAAATTGTGGCTTCTAGACATCCTTATAACCACACCAAATAGAATATGCTACTTGTCGAAACAAGATCCTCCTGCTATATCATTGACTAAGTAAGTTGTATATTTTTTTACCATTGTGATATAATTATATTAAGATTGCATCATTTGACGAGGGTTGCCTTTTAATTTTTGGGAATTGATATGTGACAACTGACGTCCTTATCGTAAAGTTTGATTTTTTGTCGGAATACTTGCTCAGAATGTTTTGACGTATAGACACTATTTGTGTTGTTTACAGTGACTTGAAAAATTCATCTCAGCCGAAAAATAGAATAGAACATAGCCATATACGATAATTAATTTCTTTTTTGTTCTCTATTCCCGAAATATAGAAGGCAACCCTCATATTCTGCTATGTTTAAAACCTAAGGAAATATTTCCTTTCATTAGTTAAAGTACAATTTGTAAATATTAAAGTCCTTGTAAAATATTTCAGTATTCAGTGGTTAGTAATCGACGAAGCAGATAAGTTATTTGAATCGGGAAATAGAGGATTTTGGGATCAATTGAGTGAGATTCTGACAGCTTGTAATGGAGAAAATCGCAAAATAGCAATGTTCAGTGCTACTTATACACCAGCAGTAGCCAAGTGGTGTGTTCACAATATGAAAGGTTTAGTTAGAGTTACTGTAGGGCAAAGGTAATATTGTTATAATCATTTTTATATTTCACTTGCCAATTTTGTTTTTATCAGAAACTCCGCTACTGACTTAGTGGATCAAGAATTACTTTTTGTTGGGAATGAACAGGGAAAATTGTTAGCTCTACGAGACATTATAAGGGCTGGGATAAGTCCCCCTGTTCTTATATTTGTACAGAGTAAGGAAAGGGCACAACAGTTATTTAATGAACTTATCTATGATGGAATTAACGTTGATGCTATTCACGCCGATAGAACTCAGTTGCAGGTAATATTATTGAGGCATTCCATGCCAAAACGACCACTTTTAACCCTACCCATTTCGATTTGGTTGAAACTTTTTTATTGTTTTCTACCCCATTGAAAACCTGAGAATATTTTCAATTTTTTTTCACCCAACTCAAAAAAAGATGAATTCTTGAAAAAAATAGTTTTTTTTTTAAATAAGCATAACTTTTTCAAAAATTGAGTTATCGTGAAATTTTTTTTCAAAATTTGTGTTATATGTACTTTTTGAAAAAAAAATATCAAAATTATGTGAATCTATCTTCTGTTTTTTTTTTCAATTTTCAAAAAAAACGAAAATTTCTCGATTACCTTATTTGAAAAAAAATTGTTTTTCTTATAAAAAACTACACTTTTTATAAATGCTCAAATTCTTTCAGAGTGGTGTTTTTTTCGTATCAATTTTTTTTTTATTTGAAAAATTTTTTTTTTTCAAATTTAGCCTACTTCACATACCATTTTGAAAAATTTTGAAAATGTATATAGAATCCTAAAATTGAAAAAAAATATATGAAAGAAATAATAGATTTTTTTGTTAAGAAAAAAATAGATGTATTTGAAAAGTTTTTTTGTATTTTTTTTCCAAAAACCACATACAAAAACAAAGAAAATGAAAAAAAAAGTTATTTGGTTCATTTTTGGACGAACAGTGGGCTTTAACTTAAATAATTCATTTTGAAACCATCCTCTTTTGACTTTTTGAAATTGTCATCAGTCGCTGCATAGAATAAATTTTTTCAATTTTGGGATTCAATATACATTTTAAAAAATTTTCAAAATATGTGAAATAAGATTTGAAAAAAAAAAATTTTTTCAATTAATAAAAAAAATAGAAAACGAAAAAGCACCCCTCTGAAAATATTTGAGGATTTATAAAAAATGTTTTTTTATAAGAAAAAAAAATTTCAAAAATGGTAAATCATCGAAAAATTTTCTTTTTTTTTTGAAAATTGAAAAAAGTGAAGATAGGTCCAGAAATGTGGATCTATTTTTTTTCTCAAAATGTACATTTAAGAACAAAAATTGAAAAAAAAAGTTCCGATTACTCCAACTTTTGAAAAAGTTATGGTTATTTTAAAAAAAAAGCTTTTATTTCAAGAATTCATCTTTTTTTGAGTTGGTGAAAAAATTTGGAAAAACAGGTTTTCAACGGGGTAGAAAACAATAAAAAAGTTTCAGCCAGTGGTCGATTTGGCCTGGAATGCCCCTATTCTACTTTTATTAATTGTTACCCATATGAGAATATTAAATTCCAAATTATATATAGCGATGTTGAATAAGTTCTTGCTGTTTTCCAACAGATGGCATTACCAGAACAGCAGTATAAGGTGGTAACGCACCTATTGAGAAGTACTGTAAGCAAACTTGAAATTCAGTATATGTTATTTCGCGGAAGTGTAAACTACTTTTTCTTTAATAGTGTTAAACATGTCGAAAGAGTATTTGCAGGGAATTTTTCTGCACTACTTTATTCAAAAGAAATGCACAGCTGAAGCACATAGAATCCTTTTTGAGACTTACGGTGACCATGCTCTGTCGCAAACAACATGCGTAGATTGAGTTAGACATTTCAAAAATAATGATTTTGATGTTGAGATAAAGAACGCTCTGGCACACGGAAACAGTTTGAAGATGAAGAACTGGAGGCATTATTTCATGAAAACTTGTCAGACGCTAGCTGATCTTAAAGAATCATTAGGAGTTGATCACGTAATGGTTTCGAAATGTTTGAAAGCATTAAGAATGAGAAGCAAAGACATTGGGTTCCGTACGGGTTGAATTCGAGAGACGTCAAACAGTGTCTTTGCACATTTGAACAGCTGCTTCAACGGCAGAAAACGAAAGGGTTTTTGCATCGTATTGTGAGTGGTGATGAAAAGTAGATGTGCTACGATAATCCTAAGCGTAGATAACTGTGGGACAATGAATCAACATCGTCATCAAAACCGAATATCCATGGTTTCAGGCAGAAGCCTGAGGGTTGTTTTCGGTGTGCAGCAAAATAAAACGCTCTCTCAACTGTAAAAATAAAAGTATTTTTATTGAAAACAAAGTTTGTGAAAAAGACGTGTTGTTGGGGTGAGCGTTCGCTGGAGAGTCTTCGTGGTGTGGAGTCGCTCGCAGAAGTACCTGGTCCTTGGCGCCCATCTGCTGTCAACCTTTTTTGGAACTCTGTTACGTCCTGGATGGCGTTAGGCTGGCGCTATTGACATAGTACCTACTTAAAGATGTATCACTTGCAGAAATGTGTACCCACAATACATACCGTGACGTGTTTTTTACTATTCTTTTTTAAATAAATCATTAATTTTCATGAAAAAATAGCGAGAACTTACTCAACACCCCATTACTTTGGTTTTTCCTATGAATATTTACATATTTTTAGCGAGATAATACAGTCAGAAGTTTCCGAGAAGGTCAAATTTGGGTTTTGATATGCACTGAACTCATGGCCCGTGGTGTTGACTTTAAAGGTGTGAATTTAGTGATAAACTACGACTATCCTTCGTCTGCTATATCCTACATCCATAGGATAGGCAGAGCTGGCCGTGCAGGAAGAAGAGGAAAGGCAGTTACTTTTTTTACAACAGGGGATACGGTTAACCTTAGAAGGTAATTAAAAAAAATGAAAGCCTATGCAGAATTTCGGATAGTTTATGGATCCAATTCTGATACACTTTTCTCAATTTTAGTATTGCTCATGTGTTGAAACAATCTGGGTGTAAAGTGCCTCCTTATATGTTGACGATGAAAAAGAAAAGCAGGAAGGAAAGGAAACAGTTAGAAAAAAGTGCTCCTAAGAGGGACGAAATAATCACTAAGCCCATATATGAAAGAAAAAAGTGGAAAAGACATAAAAAGAAAAAAGAATAATTTTTTTTAAATCGTTTTATAATAAATACGTATTATGATATGCTTTGAAGTCTTTTGTTACTGATGAGGAAATATATTAGTATAAAATAAACTTTAAAGTATTCATTTTATTTTTTATACTCATGAACTGTGATTACCTGAAACGAAATGCTTTATTTCTCCAAAAATTTCATAAAGAATTTCCGAAATTTTTCCGTGATTTTTGACAGACTGTATTTAGGTGGCAAATGGTCGTATCGAGAATTAAAAAAAGTATTTTGAAGCTCTAAGATTAAGTTTTTAGATCTTTCAAGAGCGAGACAAAAAAATTTTTCTATTTTTTTTTTAGCACGAATTTGGAAAAAATTTTTCAGCTAAGCCATGGACCAGATAACTTGTTTATTCAGCTTCAATTTCCTTTTTTTTTAAATTTCGATATGACCATTTTTCATCAAAATATAGGACTTTTAGTGGAAAAGGATCCTTTTGTCTTCAATCATGAATATCTCGGCGACAAATGGTCGTACAGAGAATTGAAGGACATTTTCGAAAACTGGAATAAATCTCCTATAACATGCTGCCGCAAGTTTTCGGAAAAAAAAAATTTTTTCATCTTTTACACGAATTTAAAAAAAAACAGGAAAAAGAGGTAATTTATAGTTTTTTAGAAAATTGATGGCTAAATTAGAAATATTCATGAAATGACTAATGTTAAGCATGTGTTTTACAGTTCGATATACCCTGAAGATTCCTATGAAGTTTCATCTCGATCTAGCGAACCGTTTCTGTTTCAGTTACACTTTTGAAAAAAATTAAAGGGTCATGGTTTTTGAGCTTAAACATTTCATAATCATGATTACCTAATATAGAAAAAAAAAATTTTTTTTGAGGTGGTTTTCTTACATTTTTACCGCAAATAACTTTTAAATTGATGAAAAAAAAAATCGAAAAATTTTCGAATTTTATGTTTTTTTTGTTTTTTTTTTGGAAAACCTTCCGGACATTGAAGAAAACAAAATCCAATTGTTTCCAGCACAATTAGGCTTTTCCATTCTATGCTTCTGTTCTTTCATGAACTTTTAATTAAATTAAAATTAAAGATATATCTTAAGAATATTCCTACCCTTCCAGAGCCTTAGGTATTTTAGATATGAAAGTATATTTGATGTACACAGTGTCGAGGACATCATTTAATTATTTTAGAAATCTTGAAATAAAATGAATCGAAAATACCTACAAAAAATCTAAAATGTAAAAATAGTTAATTATTTTTAATAATAAAGTTGCTATAATAGTCATCGTTAATAAATTTCAACTATATTTGTTATGAAAAAACTTAATTTCGAAGATAATATAATATTTAGATAATCATTTAACTTATTAATTGACATCGGCAGTTTCTTAATAGATAATCTGCTATAAAGTAGATCATTCGGATCAACTCTTTGGCAACCTTATCGTTATAGTCTTAACGAAAAATCCATAAATCTTGGCGTCATCAATATTAACGATTCGTTTACAATGAATAATGACAAACCTTTGTGCATCTACGCTCGAAATAATGCAAAAATGAGGGTATTATATTATAACCCTTTATATGTGGCGACAAATTGGGCCCGATCGGTCCAATAGTTTATGAATAATTGCATTTGCTTATCCCAAACACGATTTTTTTAAACGATTGAGCTAGGTCAGTCAATTTAAACGCCAGGAAATGATAGTTAAAAGTATGAAAATTATGGTATGTTAAAAAAATCAATTTTTTTCAATTTTGTTACATTTTTTTCAATGCAAGGAAGGGGTATATTTTTATAAATAAATAGAAGTAACTCCGGAACTACTGGTCTCAGGAACACGACAGTCATATCACTGGACAGCTAGTAAAAAAAAGATTTAAAAAATATATGCCCTACACCCTTTCTGGGCCGAGATAGCCCTTTTTTTTAAATCACAGCTCCATTGTTTATAAATATTAAGGGCTGAAATTAATGCTATATATGCACAAAGGTCTAAACTTTAGGATACATTCAACTCCACGAAGAATCATGTATAAATAAAAAACTTACAGTAACTCAAAGTGGAGGTAAATTTTCTTAGCTCGTGCTGGAAAACCAGATTCAAAATCGTGTCATTATTTTTTTTTAAACTGGGGTAGCTTATCGAAAAAATGTCAACTAGATCACCAAGCAACCCCTAAAATANTTGTTATGAAAAAACTTAATTTTGAAGATAATATAATATTTAGATAATCATTTAACTTATTAATTGACATCGGCAGTTTCTTAGGAAAAATTCATAAATCTTAGCGTCACCAATATTAACGATTCGTTTACAATGAATAAAGACAAACCTTTGTGCATCTATGCTCGAAATAATGCGAAAATGAGGGTATTATATTATAACCCTTTATATGTGGCCACAAATTGGGCCCGATCGGTCCAATAGTTTATGAATAATTGCAATTGCTTATCCCAAACACGATTTTTTTAAACGATTGAGCTAGGTCAGTGAGTGCATAAAAACGCCAGGAAGTGATAGTTAAAAGTCTGAAAATTATGGTATGTTAAAAAAAATCGATTTTTTTCAATTTTGTCACTTTTTTTTAATACAAAGAAGGGGTATATTTTTATAAATAAATAGAAGTAACTCCGGAACTACTGGTCTCAGGAACATGACGGTCATATCACTGGATAGCTGATAAAAAAACAAAGATTTAAAAAAAATATAATTATACCCTACGCCCTTTCTGGGCCGAGATAGCTCTTTTTTAATCACAGCTCCATTGTTTATAAATATTAAGGGCTGAAATTAATGCTATATACATTAGGATACATTCAACTCCACGAAGATTCATGTATAAATAAAAAACTTACAGTAACTCAAAGTGGAGGTAAATTTTCTTAGCTCGTGCTGGAAAACCAGATTCAAAATCGTGTCATTATTTTTTTTTTAAACTGGGGTAGCTTATCGAAAAAATTACAACTAGACCACCAAGCAACCCCTAAAATAAGGGTTGATTCTTATAAGTGGTCCCCACAAGATCCCGTCGTCAGGAGGGTGCTGCTATCGATTTTTTTACGTTTTTCCGTAGAATGACTGGACTATGTATCATGAAATTATAGTAGCATATATACCTTAGACTTTTTATTCCTTTCGTACGATTTTCATCCCATAAAATAACTACAGAGATACCCCTAAAACCCTGTAATCCCACGGGATACAACCCTTCCGTTTCATTAATTTGACAACAGAGGAAGCTCCTTTTATGACCTGAGAGAAATTATTTTTCACTCAACGTTTGTATACTTACATATTACGTCAGTTCACTTGGCTGAAATGACAAAATATGTATGAGGGTTACATCCGACACCTAACTCTGTTTAATAATTAATTCTAATGGATGTAAACCTTATTTATATATACCTCGAATACGCTTTTGGTCCACCAGTCATTTTACACGAACATCAAAAATATAAATTCAAAATGCTGGGATGGCTAAGGGAAAATGTTAATAGTAAATCGATGCGGCGAATAAATTATCTACGATTATTTCCGGAAAACGTTCAATACGAATTTTAAAAAGTTTTTTCGGTAAGGTATAAGATGATAAATAGCGGCTGTTGCCTATCTGACTACGTAACGATTTCCCTAGACAGCCATTAGTCATTATTATAATTTGATAAATTGAAGTATTTATTGGAGAATAACTCACGCAGTGGCGCTGTCTACTTTGCCACTTTACTACCACCTCTGTAGGACTGTCAATAATAATTCAGCAATGTTTTTAAAATATGAATTAATGAAAAAAACACGATTGCTACCGTCATTTTACCCTCTCTTCTCCTGCACTGGCGTTTATTACCATAATTATCGCAGAACAACCTCAAACAATTTTTTTTAACTGATCCTTTAAAGTTATGGAAGTACAACAGGAATTTATGAAATATAATAGGAATTTACCAAGTCTACTCCTAAACGTAGATAATTTAAGAAATTTTCTCATGCATAAACTTTAATACTCTGAAAAGGGTGGTTTCATCTTAAGTAAATCAGCTATATTAGGTTGCTAAGGGCCTTCAAAGTTCGTAAATTAAAGCTATCTTTTAGTATTCCTGTTTTATATTTTCAGATCATACACTTTCTTTCGAGCCTATTTAAAAATGGTTAAACGTTTTACAAATTTTGTTACCTAAGTACCTACTTACAAAAAGCGTCATAAACAAAACATGGATGCTATTCGAATTTATTTAGATGTTTTTTATACCTATATTGTTTTAACTTTATAAAAACGTTTTGGCTAAGCAATATTAAGTACAACAGACTAAATACCACCCACTATACCAACCACACTATAACAAATATACCCTGGTAAGACCCTTTTATTCGTTTGCTTGGTTTGTTTCTTTTTTTGTTATACTGCAAATGAAATTATATAATGCCAGATTGCATCACCGGGACCTCAGAAAATTTCCCGGAGGACTTGTTAGGTCTTCGCTCGTCGTTAGTAAGTACTTTTTTTCGTTTGTACGTCTGCTTTAACAGCTTACATTTTATAAATATATTGTATGTACTGATTTACACATACATTTCAAGAGATTGATAAATACGTGAGGTAAAATTTGTTTCTGAGATTGCGAAAGCTACAAGACATTAACATCTAACTTATTTTAAATTTGATGAGCGTCGATAGACTTGTTGTCATTTTGTATGGGGCTTCGCATTCAAAATTTTTACAATGGTAACCCTAGAACGACCCAAAATATAGAACGTTCAGTGTTTTGTATTAGGTACCGACAGACTATATTTCGCCATCTCTTGTTGACATAAGAACTAAATCGGGCGGTAAATTTAAATTGCTTAGAATTATTAAATTTTTTTTGCTGTTGTCTTCTGTAACTGTAGCTGTAAAGACAGTAAGTAAAAATTGGTATAATATAATTTTATAACATTTACGATCAACAATCTACATTATTTTTTAAAATGGTTGAATTCAAAGGTTCTAATTGCTTTAGGAATTTGAAATATCGCTTCAACATCTACATGGGTATTACAAGCGAGTGTAAACAACGAAACAAAAGAGCTATGTTATTTTTTCGTGAAAATCTCCATAATTCAATGCGAATGTATAGTACAGCAAAATACCGGGTTTTCGCGTATTTGCAGATCCGATGAACAAACGTTGTTTTAATATATTTACAGCATCGATTAAGTAAACATGTAGACATAATTCTGCGCTGTCCATCGCAATACAGATAAATGAATTTGTTTTTCATATATTCACAAGGGACACAGATTTTGTTACTAATTTAAATCGAATTATTTTGAAAAACTGTCGACATCAGCAGATCCTTTACCCTAACTACAGGGTGTTTCATTAAGAAAGGGATGCTTAATTTCTCCCTGGGACAAAGTTGAGGACTGATTCAACCATTGTCTGGAATTTTGGCAAACTATATAAATCCGAAATGAACTAAACAACTTTGGACTTTGATAAGAGGTAATATGTTCTAGAAGAAGATTCTGTTCATCCATAGGTGTTTTCAGAATTAGTCCATAAATCCAAAAGACTGAGTGATTTCATACAACTTAACCATACAATAAAAGAGAAGTTCTAATATCTCCGGAATTTAACTAGTCAAACTTTGAATTTGATTTGTAAAATGGTTTATGAAATACATACCAAAATTTGCCATTGTGTTAGTTAATTTTAAAAATTTCAGTCAAACGATATTCTTCGATACCAGAAATCTAAGCATGCAAAATATATCTAGCTCCACAAACAAGATTCCTCTAACTGCTGATATTGCGAAGACAACTACTCTATCGACTATATGTCCTAACTAACGCGACAATAGCTAGCAATTAGCTAGTAATATATAACGCCCGGTATAATAATATATAATGCTACTTATTTTGATGCCAATAATCGATAAAACACACTCCTAGTCAAAATTTGGGTTCTAATATTTAGGGTTAGCCATATTAATTAATAGAATATTAGGCACACAAAAATGTCCAAACCCAAAGATCTGACATATCGCTTCCGAGGTATTTTGATGAGCTGAAAACGATACCGTTGCCAGAATTTATGCACGACCGGATAGTATCTTGTAAAATATATATTTAGGGTGGAAACAGACTCGATCATAATCCAAAATTGATTTTGCTACATAATATCTGAACATATCATTCCCGACGTATTTTGACGAGGTGAAAGCGATCAAAGTCAAAATTAAACCGTCTTTAAAATCGAAATACAATTTGAGAAGGAACCTTTAACAGTAATACTAGAAAAACTAGATTTTCTTTGCCATCGAATAAATGTTGTTCACTTTCCCTTAGAATCGATTCAGAAAAATTGGCATCACTAGTTCTTTCGACTCTTGCTATTAAACGAGATATTTCGAATTTTCACCACCTAGAACGGCGGTGACAACATTTTTAAAGTTAAGGCGATGTTTCGCATCGTTTTAGCTATGTCCTGTACAAATTTAGTTTCGTGCAACTTTTTCGGTTTCAAAAATACAATACCTATGTATGTTTTCAGCCACGAAATTTGAATAATTCCAAATATTTCGAATTTTTACCACCAAGAACTGCGGTAACAACATTTTTAACATTAAGGTGATGTTTCCAAAGATATAAGTATACATACTGTCGATACAATTAGAGAGCGTGCTTTTCATTTTCTTCCACAATAGTAAAAGATTTTAGTACTCCAGTTTTTGTATCGTTAATTTTTACTATAACAACGATTCCTTTGCATCTATATCATCTATCGAGAGCTTTACTAACGCATCTATTCTTAATCCTCCAAAAACACCCATTGCTGGAACAACCTACAATAACAAAAACCTATTAAGCACATGCAATAATATAACCAATTATTTCCTATATTACCTTTTCCAAAAGATATGTATGACTTATGCTTCTCTAGTACATTTCAAAATATCCTCTCTTGTCAATTCTTTTGGAATATATCTTCGATATTTGCTTCATATAAGCTTCTAATCAATGTATTCTCCTATATTTACTTTTCTGCGCACTAATAATGTGTTCAACATTGATTACTTTGTCCACAATGTGATAGGGCTGAATGATTCTGACTAAAAGGTATATAAAAAATATAAATTATCTAAAATTATAAATATTTCATTAAAGTGATAAAAGGTAATAACACACCAGTTCTTGGAAATATCCCATTAATATAGTTTCACTAACAGTTGTAACTGAATTTCTGCTTGTCCAAGTCTCAAAACGTTTATATTCTTTATCATAAAGTAATTTATATTTCTTAGGCAGCAATTCTTCATTGGCTTTATTGGCTCTAGCAGCAACTATTGCTGGAATATTATCCATTCTGCCTTTTCAATATCTCTCCTCCAAATCAAACATCAAACTATCAAAATCAGCAAATTTGCGGGTATCATAGATACATCTTGGATACATGTTTATATATTGAAAAACTGTTTTCATTCTCATTTACATTTAATTATTAAATTTAAAATAAAAGTAAAATCCGATGTCTAAGTAAAAAATAAAATGTTGTATGCACCACGGGAGATATTAGGATAATCATCCTTGTATCTCCCTTGGTACATAAATAACTATTTTCTGAAAAAATATTTCGCCTGAGATATATTTTACATACCTAGATTTTTGCTGTCGAAGAACATTTGACTTGTATGGAAATAAGTATCACTTTTAAAAATTCTTCATTTATTTTCCTACGGCTCAGCGTCAATCAGCTATAATCGAAAATACTTGGGTATTCTTTACTGATCAAGATGGACGGTCATCCAGGAAGGAGCGCTATCCTATTATCTTTAATCACTTCGCAACTTTTCTTTTCCAAAGACTTAGATTTATCAATGGAGGTGTAGAGTGCACATTGGGGGTATACGAACGACCGCATGCGCCGGTTTTGCGAAAACCAAACTTCTGATATGCCGCGCTTTACTCTCATTTCGAATCCGACGCGTGTTGCTGAAACACCGGGGTATTAAATAGTTGTCGCAATTTTATAGGGTCTGTGTATCTCGAGTTCATAAACTTCGAACCAGAGTATTAATGTTTATTTTAAACTAAACGCTGAATGTGTACGTGTTTAAAATCGAATCATGTGCGAATTGTAAATTGTTTTGTTTTTTCAAGACATAAAATGTAGGTATGAAATAAACTTTTAACATCAAAACAGATAGAGGTGGTGTTCTGTTGTTTATTTGGAATCAAAATAAACGTTTTATGTGATGTACCGTTATAGATTTAACTCACGCAAATATGAAGATTCTTTTGAAAAAAATTACGTAGGATTACAACAATCTAAATAAATCACGCAAAAATGAATAACACTAACATAACTTACTGTGATTTGGAGCAATTCAGCAAAAACTTTAAGAGCTACCATATGTACCTCAGCTTATTCGTGTGCATTTTCGGATCGATTCTGAATATCCTCAACATATTTATTCTAAGTACCAAGCAGATGAGATGTCCCACTAATTGTATCTTAACGAGCTTAGCTGTGGCCGATGTTCTGGTGATGTTAGAATACATTCCTTTCGCATACTTACACGATAAAAGCACGACTTCCTCTCACTACTTCACTTATAACTTCGCAGCGTTTATTATTTTCCACGCCCTCTTCACCCAGTCCTTCCACTTTATCTCTTGTTGCATTACGATCATTCTCGCTGTATGGAGATATATCGCTGTGAAATTTCCTCAGAACAATTCAAAGTGGTGTAGTAACGAGAGAACGAAGGCGACAATTCTCCTAACGTACATACTATGCCCTTTCATCTGCATACCGTTGTTTCTATCTATAGACATCACGAAGATGAATGCTTTCATAAGCAGCGAAGGTAAAGTGATTTTCAAGCCAAAAGTAAACCAAACGGATTTAAAGAATGCTACTATTTACTTCGCAAACTACAAACAGAACACTATCCTTAAAGATATCAGTTTCTACGTTTACGGTGTCATCATAAAACTAGTGCCGTGTATTCTATTAACTGTCCTATCCACGCTGCTTATTATCGAACTGTTAGCTGCTAAGGAGAGGAGGAAGAAGTTGCTGAATCCGACCGCAGATAACGGAGTGGTGAAGAAGAAAGTTCAACAGAGGCATTTGGACAGAGAAAAACAAGCGGATAGGACAACGAAGATGCTGTTGGCGGTGCTCCTGCTCTTCTTGATGGTGGAGTTCCCACAGGCTATCTTCGGGCTGCTCAATCACATCGTCGGGGAAAAATTCGACAGGGAATGTTACCAGCCTTTAGGTAAATATATTTTTTAAGCTAGTTACAATTAGTTATACAATATTTTGTTTAGACATAGTCATTGATCTTTCTGTTTCAAATTTATTAGCATGACTGTGATTCTAATCTTCAACTTTGCATTTCCTACAAGATAAATAAAGGCCTTGAATTTAGTGTTCATTTGCTTTGGTTGATAAAGAAATATATGTTTTTGTTTTGGTACGTAGGTTTTTAAATACAGATGTCGGGTAATGAATGGGATGTTTTGCTGAAAAATAAGGAAAAATCTCAAAAGGTGGCATAGTTATACTAGCCCTCACACATATTTTTTCAAAATTTTGACAGATATCATGCTATCAATTTATATTGCAAATTTTTCCCTAAATAATGTATTAGAAAAAAATTAATAGTTTTTGAGATAAATTAAATTATGAAACGGACAGCAGTAACTAGAATTTATTTTACAGATTATTTCAGCTATTTAGTTTGTTTAACTCTGCCAAGGACAAAAACCTTCGAACGGATTAGTTGTGCCTAATTAAAAAAAAAAAAACAAAACGCGACAAAACAAACAAAAAAGATATGTTCAAAATCACGTTTTTTATTCTATGAATATTTTCCCGTTATACAAGAAATAACATTACAGGATTGTTATAAATCTGATTACGGTTCTGTGTTAATCTCAGAAAAAGTTATTTTCTAATGCTTGCGCGTGTTGAATGAATGAGTTATTTTGACTTTTTGGCTATGACCCCACGGAAAAAAGTTTAATGGATTTAGATCGTGCTACCTAGGTGTCGATAAAAAAGGTCGCCTCAATCTACCTATAGATCCCTAAAAACGTTTGATAGGTATACACGAGATAGCTCATTTTCAACACGTGTCTAGTTAATTTTAATTAATTTATTATTAATATTAAATTAACAGTTAATTTAATTTTAATCTTTAACGTGATTCTTTAAAGCTATTTTTAAACGGTTTTGGACTTGGCAAAGTTAAATAAATTAATGAAATGATTTTTAAAAAATTAAGCTCTTCAACTCCGACAACTTTACACATTCCAACGAAGAAAACAGTCACATGGAGCCAGGGCATAGCCATAAAAATAGACAGGGTAGAGTATAAAACTCGAAAATGTACCTTTAGAAATAAATTACAAACAGTATCATCTTAAATTAATCCAAAATAACATAAACTCGCAACAAAATTAAACCACGAATGACACGCACGAACTAAAAACTATTATACGATGTGAAGTCCGATTCTGTATTAATGGACGATCGTCCTTATCGCGCGTGTATCCTGCTTGATCATTGTTTATTTCGTAAAAGTATGTAATGTGTTGCTGCCCTTATACTAATGTTATATTGTAATTGAGACATCTGTCAACATTTTTAAAATATGTGCTGGATATGTGCTCCTTTTCTGGGTACCTTGTAATGATGAATGAGATTAATTTTAACATCAATCCTGGACATTTATCCGTAACACATTATATCAAAATAAACGAGCCCCAAGGAACCTCCTTGGGGGTCGTTTATCTCCATTACTATGTTGACCTTTCCTTTACTCTCTCGAGAGATTATAGGTACTTATCGAACACCCTGTATATTGAATAGAATAAGTGATAAGTTCGCTATGCAAATTTTCCAAGAATATCAATATTGTTGATCATGACATACCACCTAGTTCAATAATATACATTAATTACACTATACGAAACTTAATAGATTGTGAAGTTGAAATTAAATTTGTTGTTAAAATCCAGATTGTGTGTGTATATGTACTGGATTAAAGGTACGGTCTCGGAAACATAGGGGGCTTTTGCAGTTAGGTTCAAAAGTGTGGTTTTGAATGACAATAATACCCCTACGCAGATCCAGGATTAAATAAATTTATATGTATGTTCAAATAGAACTCTCTCTCTTAGCATTAAGGGTGCCATGCTTTTGCTACTCTGAAGCCTTTCAGTCGGTACATGAACTGAGTCCATAATGGTTCAGATCACTGGCAAAGTCTCTTTCAGAGACTGAAAAACTTGCTATAATACCCACGTGACTTGAAAAGAAAGAACTTCGTATCAAAAGATATATTCATATTATACGCGTAGAAATAACAGTTTCTAAATAAACCTTTAGAAAAGTTATTATTATTATTATTTACATAAATGTAGATAGTATTGTCAAATACTGTTGTATTCTTTATATTCGTATAAAAATTATGTTTGTATTTGCGGTGTTAGGGTTGAGCTTATATACACGCTTATTATACACCAAAATATATTCGTTAGATAGGGTGTTTTGAAAAAAGATACCATAAATTCAGGATGCCAATGGTTAAGAACCCAGAATTTTTGCATAGATGATGATCGCAATATGCCTGTATCAAAAATAGGTCCCCTGAAGAATTTACCAACGATAATACCCTCTTGGTGCAACTCGGTAAAATGAGAGTTTAGGAAATATTTGTTATTTTATGTCACAATGCACATCGAGCGGCGCCTCCACCATTTTTTGCTTTTAAATTTTATTGGACATAATTACTATGTGAGAACCATACATATTTTTAAAATAAGAGTCTAGAAAATTTTACTATCTGCTAATGTAATTTTCACTAGCAAAATTTGACAAACACACTACACATAACACAAAATAAAAAAAACAAAGCAAGAATAAGTTAAAATTGAAAAAATAATTTAAAAGAAAGAAAACTATCAAAATACATTTTCAATATGGGTACTTTCCATCTCCACACACTTCCTAAGTCTACGAATGTTATTTGTTTGTACACGAAAAAGCATTTTTGGGGTAATAATTTAATAGGTCCATACGTTTTTGAGGAACGTCTGAATGTACATCGATATTTGGAGTTTTTACAAAATAATTTGCAGCCACTCATCAACTGTTATCGATCACCAAATTTGCATCATGCTGAAATTAATAGTTTAAAGATTATAAATAAAAATAACTTTAATTTTAACTAACCGTAACTTGTTAACGAAGGCCCGTATGAAAATAATGTATACATATAATGAATTGATATTATTTTGACCTGATCTATTTCTACTTGACTTTTTTTGTATCAAATACCGGGGCACCATGTATAATAATATGTATAATAATCTGCCAAGATAGGTAAAAACGTAATTATTCAAAGAATAATATAATGTAAAAAAAATTGAATTACGTTATAATTCTATCAACTTTATAAGTTTTCTTTATTTCTTGGGGATGCGATGAATAGGAAAACCTTAGGCCATCATTTCCAATTTTTTTTTATCATATAAAACCTGTATTATGCTAATGTAAAAGAGTAAATCTGCCATATATAAAATTGAAACAAGTAAAAATACATTTGGCTCCTCATTTTATTACATTGTTTAAGACATAATATGTTAACTGTGTTATACAAAATAGATACATAAAGAATTAGATCAACCATTCGATTTTATTTACTCGTTTTTATTAGGTAGGTACCCAATGAAAGGTAATTATCGGAAAATCTATGACTGTGCTTCAATTTTCTTAGAAATATTTACTCAGGTTTTACTAATCAGACTAATATGCTTGATTTTTGTGAACGCAAGGGATTTACTGCTGACTTTGACGTTAATTGAAATAAATTCGAACTTTTTAAACTTGTGTTTTTATCAAAATTAAATACCTATATTATAAAAAATTTAGAAGAGAATATAATGAAAACCTGATGGCACAGAGTTTTAATCTCCATTAAAAGTCACGAGTTGGAATATTTAAATTTATAATTTCTTATCACGGAGAGCTCAGAAAAGGCTTTCTGAAAAGCCATTAAATAAATGCGCATACAATTTTTTTTTCTTAGAAATCAAAAGAACATTTCTTTAAGTGCTACAGCCTGGTAGCGAATTAACTTTGATAATTATACTAGGACAGTATTTTAATAAGGATCATGGGAACAAGAAACTTAACAGAAAATTGAAATTAAAACTTTCCCTCTAGAAACCGTCACTTATCAACTTAGCTTATTACAAACAGCATTAACACACGCAATTTCTCGTCAAGTTGAATGTGTGGAAATATATAATTTTAGCATGAGTTCATGAAGATGTACGAAAAGTTTTTCTTTTGAAATGAAATGTCCTTAAAGTTAAGGAACTGTGAAATGACTACGACATGCTGGAAAGGCGACAGGGTCTCTCTAATCACAAAAAGGACATTCTGAAGGATTTGTGATAAGCCTAGGCAAATAAAAGTTTTCAGATTGCTTACTTGACTAAAATACGAGTAAATACCGACAAATATATTTTCTTTTTATAAATTATTTAGATGTCGCCAGGAAATAAGAAAGAAAGATTATCTTACTATGTTACTTACAACAATAATTTTCGCAAAATCGAAATGAACTACTTTTTATGCAGCATTTATTTAAATAATGACAAAGTAACATACAAATACACTATTTATTTAACTTCACGATAGTCCAATCGAATTAGAGTTTGCACGTAAAAAATTATTAGTAGATATTTGATTGACGGTGAAGTGAATTAACTGACTAACGTTAACTTTTACTGTTGCTAGCCTGTTTATTTCATGAACTATTAATGTAAAACTTTTTGAAGATAAAAGTTTAAGCCTTTCTTTAATTGTGTCTAAAATGCCGGTCCGAGACGTCCAATAGTTTAATTAATAATTAACGTTATAAAAAAAAGCTGTCTTGGGAGGTGATTAATTACTGTAAAAATAAGCTCTATTTTATGCAAAAAGAGAGAATTTCCGAGGGGCTTTTGACTGACCCTAGGACAATTTATTTATAACGCTGCTTTGCACATCCTACTTTGTTAGATGTAAAAAGAGCGACTCAATTTCAACTTTTTGATTAGAACCTATATCTACGATATTAATTAATTAAAGAATGAGTTGCAAAAAAACGAACGAAATTAATTAACAAATACCTGGAAGCAACAATTTTACGGTCAATCGAATCGGCCTTCGGCATACATGATGATTATGATGATCATAGTCTGTCTTTTCCATAAATTTCAT